GGGTCCAGGCCTTTGGCCTTGTCCGTGCACTGGATCAGTGTCAAGTTGATGGAATGTCTAGGGTTTTGAGACACCCACCGCCATGAAGTTCCATCAATGCCCTCTCTGTCCAGCATGCTACCCCAAATCAATATTCAATCCAAAACTTTAAAAAGGAACAAAACATGCCCATTGCCCTGAGTCTGGCTGGAGCTGCCTCTGGGCTCATTTGCACGAGTCTGCAGGTGGGTTGCCTTGCAATGAATGACCTCACAGGGTCCTCTTGGCGAATTCCATAAAAATAGCTTCATTTCCCTCCGGGTAGACAAGATCGCACAGCAGTTAAAGGCACTCATTCTAGAGACGGGGCTTTGTGGGTTCCAACCCCAGGTCTGGCTCCTGCAAGGTATTTGCCTTTGAGCACAGAAACTCCCTGTGCCTTCATCTTTGAAATCGGAGACGTCGCACCTGTTTCCCGGCCGCTGTGAAGATCAAACAGCAGTCAGAGACGCTAGCAGGTTGTCCGCCACAGAGGAAGCCTACGGTGGGGTTGGTTTCTCATTGTCTGCGACTCCCGCCACTTTTTCCCGATTGGAAAACTCTCCTACAGTTTCTTTATACATTCTTCACGAATGTACACATTTTTCAACGTTGAAGAAAGGTTTATGAAAGGTTTCTAACATGCAGCACAGCTGGACAACTTACAATGGACACCCATACATCTACCACTTGGATCTTACCATTAGCATTTTACTATAGTTCCTTTATCTCATAACCACCTATTGCTCTAGTCATCCGTTAATCTAACTGATTTTTTTCTTTTTTTTTACTTAATTTGCTTCAATGAACTTGCATTACTTTTTTATTGATTTGGGAGAGGGGGAGAGAGATAGAAACATCAATGATGAGCTATTTGAAATACTTTGAACAATAAAATAAAATAACTGATTTTTAACATATTTCAAAATAAATTATAGACATTGGTACACTGCCTCCTAAATACTTCAGCATGCATATCCTTTTTTTAAAAAAAAGATGTTTTTACTGATTTTAGAAAGAGAGGAAGTTGGGGGGGAGACAGCTATTGGCCTAATTTTTAATAGGTGTTTTGGTGTTTTTTTTTAAAAGAGTAATGTGCCCTAGCCGGTTTGGCTCAGTGGATAGAGCATTGGCCTGCGGACTGAAGGGTCCTGGGTTCGATTTCGATCAAGGGCACATGCCTGGGTTGCGGGCTCGATCCCCAGTAGGGGGCAAGCAGGAGGCAGCCAAAGATTCTCTCTCATCATTGATGTTTCCATCTCTCTCCCCCTCTCCCTTCCTCTCTCTGAAATCAATAAAAATATATTTTTAAATAAAATAAGATAAATAAATAAACAATGAAGGTGAAGATCAGAGTTGGAGGACT